CCCGCCTCCCTCTTTCGCTCTTTCTCCTCCATCTCGCGCTCTTTTCCTCTCGTTCTTCTTTCATTCCACTCTCCTATCGATTCTCTACCAGACCCACCCGTCGCGCACCCCACCTGGCGCTGTTTAGCTCACCCTCTCCTCCTCATCCATGAACCAGTCCCTCTTCCTTGATTTCCTGCCTGTTTCTCGTTCTTTTTCTCTCGTTTCACTTCCCCCCCTTTTCCCTCTGGGCATCGGGCTAGCTGACCTGCCGACATGGGCCTTTTGTAGGCCCGAACACGGCGTTTGTTGCTTGCGGCAATGGATTCTCTCTCTCTCTCTCTCTCGCATGCCTGGTGGACACAGGAGATCAGCGAGCTGCGCCGAGTTGCGGCAAAGAAGGCGAGGCAGGCGTACCGGCAGAGGGGCCGCCCAGGCAAGGCGGCGGCGAAGGCCGCGGCGCGGGCAACGCAGAACAAGTTGAAGGGGGTGATCAGGAGGGAGAAGAGGCGCGTGGAGAGGGAGGAGTTGCCGCAGGTGGACGAGAAGTCGCTGTGGGCGGCAGTCAAGAAGGCGGCGGGGGGCAGAGCGTCAGCAACGACGCCCCCGCTCAAGAAGGACGACAGGACGTACGCGACCTCGCCACAGGACAAGCTCGACCTCCTCCGCCCGGTCCTGCTACCTGTCGTCGAGCCCGCGACCGCTGAGTGTTGCACTGTGGAGGACGAGGAGACACAAGGCAGTCCCCCATCCTCAGCATGTATAACACACCCCGTGGACCGCACACATAAAACGAACGACCGCCACGCATGTGAGCACACACCAAGTTTGCCTGCAGACCCACCCATCTCCACCTCTGAGGCCACCGACGCGCCCGAGTTGCCCTGGCCGACCCTGCACGAGCGCGAGGTGAGGTCAGCTCTGTTTGCCATGCCTCCATGCACAGCAGCGGGCCTCTTTGGCGTGCCCAATGTTGGCCTCCAGACGGCTTGGAGCTCCTCACGCCACACCTTGTCCCATCCACGCCGCCTCGCTTGCACTCAGCCACCTCCTGTGGGTGTGGCATGACTGCGCGGGTGTCGTCCTCCGCAAGCCCAAGAAGCCCAATTACAGTGAACATAATGCATGTCTGTTAATCATGTTCAGGCAGTGTGTTGCCAACTTCTCTAGTGGCAAGCTCAAGATTTGGCCTGTTGACCACACCCCCACAGACACAAGGCAAGGTTCACAGAGAATGTGGTTGTCTTGACTCTTTGGTGACAAGATTGTGTGCCAGCAGCAGTACGCCAACCATTGGGTGTGTGCTCGACTTTGCCAATGCACTCCATTAGGTCTGTGCAGACATCCTTGACACAAACCTGAAGAGAGGGGACGCATCTGCTGTGCCACGGCGGTTTGTCATGTTCTTCATGTGTGGGCACATCTGTAAGGTAGTCCCTGGCGGGTTAGCACCGGGTCAGTCGAGTAGTGGTGCTCCTCATCCTCAGGGGCTGGTAATGGGCTGGATGGA